TATGTGACCCATTTTTCATCTCCAGTTACCATGCGTTTAAGTAATGGCTCGATTTCATTCCGTTTGACCAATGCTTCGCAGATGGGAATTCGATCCATCATGGGTTTTTTTATGAGTGTTAATTGGTGGGACACCAAAACATCAAGCTTTTTTTTAAATCCAGCTTTGTACAAATGGTTTAAAGCTGCTTTATGGTCGATCTTTAAAACCTGGGTGATGCTACGACTGCTAACATACCGGCCAACTTCGATTATTTCTGTGATTATATCGCTATTTTCGACGACAGGCTTACTTGTGCGAAATGCAATCTTAACCATGGATTAATATCACCACTTAATACCAGTTAAATACCCCTTCCACCTGATCACGTGCCTTCCACGTCATCCAGGCGAGTTCATTGCAAAATGTAGGGGTGGTCATAATGTTTTGCCTCTTGAGTGTGTATATGTGTATCAAATGCGTACTGTACAAGGCAGAAAATTAAATACAATTCATTAGAGAAGCGTTTGGCGATTAAGTTAACAGAGTGTTCGTAAATTTGGTGAAAAATAGCTAGACAGCTATTACTCTACCAATTGCTTATTGGTAGAAGATTCCTGAAAGTATAAAGAACTATAATTTTGTTTTGGTAATTATGGTAACAGTCAATTGAGGCGTTGTTTCTCGTGCTTTAAAACGTGTTTTAATTATCGTTGTGTTTTAATAGCATTGATCTTTGAAGCTCATGATGTTTGTTTTGTTTGAAATTTGTAGTTTTGCTGTCAGTTTGGAGAAATTGTGATTCTTCTGAAAGTAAACTATTCTTTATCTTGCTGTAAAATTTAATTCACAAAATAATCTTACTGGCTGGGGTTTATTTTGATGTTACATTTTTATTTTTCTTAGATATAAAAATAAATCAGCACATTTTGAGTCAACGTTTACACTTTCAAAATTCAATACACCCACTGTATATGTTAAAATTTCAACGTAAAAATACTTTGTAAATCCTTACGTCGATTGCGAGAAGTTTGCTCTGAAATCCAGTGAACTATCCAACGAACACTTAAATGCAAAAAAAAAAAGTGATTCCATTTTCTGGAAAAGAAACAAGATGCATAAAAACTGCTGATAAGCATAATGTTTTATTCATTTTCATCGATCCATTTTAGTGATAGAATAAAAAAACTAAAAAATGGAAAGAAAACCAAGAATAGTAGCTGCGCTCATCGACAACGTTATAGTCCCTTCTTGAATTTCGAGAAATGTACTCTAGGATTTCGTCTGAATCTGTTAAAATCATAATGCCAAAATGTCTCCAGTCTCACAAGAATGAATAATGCATGAAGAGAAGGAAAGACTGCTGAGCAAACCAATAATCAAATGATATTGTAAGTTATTGGTTTCTTTTGGAGGTAGACTGAATTCTGTATAGTGTGCTAACGCATAGATATGAAAAATAGTTTACAGAAAGTGTCTTGCATGAGAATTTTGGCTTTGTTCTTTTTAAATTCGTTGATTTATCTTATTTATTGTAATAAGTGATTTTACTTTGTAAAAAAAATAGGGGTACATGTCAAATGCGTTCTGTAAAAGACAGGAGTTAATTGGCGAAATGTTCGGCGAGTAATTTTACAGATTTTTCGTAAGTTTGGTGAAAAGTGCAAAACAGCTATTAGTCTAACAATTGTTTATGCTTTCATGAATCTTTACCCAATAAAGTACTATAAATTGGCTTTGGTAATTATGGTTACAGTCAACTGAGACGTTGTTTCTCGTGTTTTAAAACGTGTTTTACTGATCATCATTATCATGATTTTAATGATCATTTATTTTTTTTTTTTTTATTAACATTAATCTGTTAAACTCATGACAGTATTTCTTGATTTTGTTTTCTAGTAATTAATAAAAAAAACCATGATCTTCTGAAGGTAAACAGTTTCTTTATTTTGCTGTAAAATTTAATTCACAAAATATTCTTAGAGGCTGAGGATTATTTTGATTTTAAAATTTTATTTTTCTTAGATATGAAAATAAATCAGCAAATTTTGAGTCAACGTTTACACTTTCAAAATTCAGTACACAAACTTGATGTGTTAAAATTTCACCGTAAAAATACTTTGTAAATCCTTACGTCGATGGCGAGAAGTTTGCTCTCAAATCCAGTGAACTATCCAACGAACACTTAAATGAAAAAAAAAAGTGATTCCATTTTCTGGAATCGAAACAAGATGCATAAAAACTGCTGATAAGCATAATGTTTTATTCATTTTCATCGATCCATTTTAGTGATAGAATAAAAAAACTAAAAAATGGAAAAAAAACCAAGAATAGTAGCTGCGCTCATCGACAACGTTATAGTCCCTTCTTGAATTTCGAGAAATGTACTCTAGGATTTCGTCTGAATCTGTTAAAATCATAATGCCAAAATGTCTCCAGTCTCACAAGAATGAATAATGCATGAAGAAAAGGAAAGACAGCTGAGCAAACCAATAATCAAATGATATTGTAAGTTATTGGTTTCTTTTGGAGGTAGACTGAATTCTGTATAGTGTGCTAACGCATAGATATGAAAAATAGTTTACAGAAAGTGTCTTGCATGAGAATTTTGGATAATGTATATTCTACGAAAATAAAAAGGAAATATATCTATTTTTCATATTAAATATTTGATTTTTCAATAATTAAATTAAGTTCCAGTGATTCTTACTACTGTTCCCAAAAAGTGAGAACATTTTTTTTTTTTCAAAAACCTTTTACGTATTCTTCCAAATTTATTTCACTGCTTTCAACGTAATCCCCTCTGGACACAATGCACGTATGCCAACTTTTTTTCCAATCCTCAAAGCATGCTAAAAGATGTTCGACAGGGATGGCCTTCAAAATGCACTCTGATTCACGTTGAATCTCTTCAATCGACTCAAAACGGTGTCCCCGGAGTGATTATTTGAGTTTAGGAAATAGCCAGAAATGGCACGGTGTGAATACGGTGGTTGTGCAACGATATGGGTTTCATTTTTGGCGAAAAAATCAGGAAGAATCAATGCAGTGTAAGCTGGCGCATTCTGTGTTTTCGGAACCAATCGAGATTTGACGCGTTTGAGGCCCATGATGGAATTGAACAATACTTTTGAAATTCCAACATCATCAGCAAGGTCTCTAACTGTGAAACGACGGCTTACGAGCACCAGATCTTTAATTTTTTTTCGGTTATTTTATTTTTGCTATTAAAAATTTCGATTTTACTATAATTAAACAAAGAGCCAATGATTCTTTTCTTATTAAATATGTCATGATTTATAATTCTGTTCAAATTGAATAATGCTAATTGAATAAATGAATAATGCATGAAGAGAAGGTGAGACTCTTGAGCAAACCAATAATCAAATGATATTGTAAGTTATTGGTTTCTTTTGGAGGTAGACTGAATTCTGTATAGTGTGCTAACGCATAGATATGAAAAATAGTTTACAGAAAGTGTCTTGCATGAGAATTTTGGCTTTGTTTATGATTCTAGATAATATACTACTGTGCCCAAAAAGTAAGACCAGTTTTTTTTTTCAAAAACTCTTTATTTATTCTTCCAAATTCTTGCAGATTTAGTGACTGGACTACCATTGCTCCAGAATGCCCCATGGAGCGTTGTTGCAGTTCGTAGAAGGAATCAATCATAATAATCCATATACCGAATTGATTTTTTAAAACATTTTATATTTAGCAAATGTGGCCATTCATATATCATAGCTCGGTACCACAGGTTTCGGGTTCGAGTCCCGGCGGTGCCATGGATGTTTGTAGTGGTTTGGAATCCACTTTAAACCGTAGGTCCCGGTCCTAATAGGATCGTAGAGTGTTGCGGGGGCAGTGTTACTCCGCGTCCGTGGCTTATCTTCAAGTTACACGCGCCCCCTGGGTAATGAAAGTGAGTACGCCTTAAGGCTCGTGCTCACCAAGGCGAGAAGATGCAAGCGAAAAATTTGACCAATCACTAGCCTCACTGCTGTCGCCTGAAACCGGTTTGCAGTCCGCCGCTTGGAGTTGGCCAACTTTCAACTCGAAGCGGTTTTTGACAAGGCGTAATGCTATTTCTGACGTTTCGCTGTGAAGGGGTCGAAAAAATTTTGTCGCTTGCCTCTTGAATCTTCACGTCTCTCGCCTCGGTGGGAACGACCCTTTAAGGCATCCAAGACCAAGCTGTCTAAGTTTTTGCCAGCTGCATTAGAACAAAAAAAATATATATTTAGCAAATTTTGGTACCACACTATTAAAGTAAAAAATGCGCATCATTTTTGCAAATTTAATAACAATAATTTTATATTTATCTATAATAAAGGAATTAATTAAAATTAGATTCTCTCTCTCGCGTTATACGTCAAACTTTTTTAAATCCTTACAAATGAAAAAAAAAATCAACCACCTCTTCAAACTCTTCTTCTTAAAAGAAAAACTTTTAACGCGTCCTGAAATAAACATTCTTAACGTTATTTAAAAGTTCCTAATTTTGGTTGGGAGTTTTTAAAGAAACTTAAAATGCCTTATTAAATGAGAGGAGCAACAAAACATTTCATCCCTGGAAAAATGCATTCTCCTTACGCCTTGGCTCCTCTTTTTTAACTCCTTAATATCGGTTGCACCCGCGTTTGTTTCAAAGCCTTTTCTCCTAATTGCCAATCTTCAAAAGAAATAGTTTCTTAAAAGGAAAAAATTTTTCTCATCATAGCATGCGTTCTGTTGTTGTTGTTTCTTATCCCACTTTGCTCGCCAAGCCCACGAGCCCATACGTACTCATGATTGAAGGGGAATGAAGCAGCTTCTGTTGTGATGGAGCACCCGTAGGTAGAAGTCTGACTTTGGCTCCGTGACTCTCTTACAGTCATAGGAGACCGGGACCTACGGCTTAAAGTGGATTCCGAACCACTACAAACATCCAAGGCACCGCCAGGATTCGAACCCGAAACTTGTGGCACCGAGCGCCAGAGCGCTAGACAGTCGGCCATTCAGGTCCCAAATTTGTGAATGCCAACGGCACGCGGTGTTCTCAGGTGGTCACCCACCCAAGTACTGACCGCGACCAATGATGCTTGACTTCGGTGATCTAACGAGAACCGTTCTGAAGCCCCAAAAAATAACTTGCACACTTATTTATAAAAATGTAATTATTCTCTTTGAGTTTATACATAAAATGCGTTTTATATGTGAAAATATTTTTAAATATGTTTTTCACCTTTTATCAGACATTTGTTCACATAATTACATAGACGACTATCATTCCCAGGGTATTTAATCTGTTATTTGTGAAAGAATGAAGAACAGCTACTTTAATGAGAAATGCATTATAATATTTTTTTTTCCTTCTAATGCAGCTGGCAAATAGATCGTGATCTTTCGCCATAAGGGCTGCACCGATGTTACTCACTTTGCATTACCCGGGGGGTGCGTGTAACTTGATGGTAAGCCACGGACGCGGAGTAACAATGCCCCGCAGCGCTCTACGATCCTGTTAGGACCGGGACCTATGGCTTAAAGTGGATTCCGAACCACTACAACACCCATGGGCAAAGCCGGGATTTGAACCCGATACCTATGGTACCGAACGCCATTATAATATAAACAATAAAGATGTTTGTTTTGAAATTTTGTTTTCGTGTTCTCGCCTATTGAAGAATATGTTCTAAACCTCTTGTTTTGCATTAATTAAACAGAATGTTTTCCGTAATATAAATTAATAGTTTTTTTCTAAAATTTTTTTATTATTATAGTTGAAATGTTTTAACAATAACTTTCTATGTTTACATTTAATTATCGTATTGTTTAAGCAGCATAATTTTGGGACATATGGTTTAGGTATTTATTTCTTAGTATCCACATTTTTTGGAGCTTTAATTGATAATTAGCATGTTCAGTAACACTCGTTTAAATTTATTTCATTTTCAATATTTATTTCTTTAAATATCGAAATCGTTATTAATATATAATACAAATACAAATATAAATTATTAAAAAAGATAGATTATTATTAATATTATATAATACAAATATAACTTATTAAAAAAAATTATATATTTTTTAATTAGATAATCTCAATTAAAATATTTTATTATTCAAATTTAGTTTATTGTTAACACATTTCAAGTTATTATTCATTTAAGTCCATCGTATAATTTAAACATCATAATTTCGCACACATGAATTGGATATTTATTTGTTATTTTCATTTTTGGAGCTTTAATTGATAATCACTAGTTTAAGTGGTAACACTCGTTTGAGATTATTTCATTTTCTATATTTATGTCTTTAAGTTTTTAAATCATTATTAAAAAAATTATGTTTTCTTTATTTAGATAATCTCAATTAAAAAAATTATTAAAATTTAGTTTTGTATTGTTGTGGGTTTGGGCAACTCTAGAATGCAACTTGGTGCGATTGGGCTGAGATTTGAGAACACACATTTTTATTTACACGCGCAAATAGCACATACACACAATTAACTACAGGCAATATTTAACACATTTAAAGAGGGATTCCATGAATAAGCCGAAAATAAAGACACTCAACTATTTGCAGGATCCGTGAAATATACATCTTCTCCGGGTGAGAGTCTGCAGGCCAACTTATACGCAGGTTGCGTTAAATAACCAGGGTGATTATAATTAAAGTCCCAGTTTCAAAATACTGTAAAAAAGTACCATTCGTGACAACGAGTTAAAATTTGAACTGAAGATACTTGAAGAAGGGGAAAAGATAGGACATTAAAAAAAAATCCACCGATTTTTCTTATCCAATTTGATACGGCTCTACTGTGGTGGATGGGCTTTCCACTAATCGCATCACAACTGTTGAATGACTTGGAAGTCATTTTATCTGCCAAAAAAATGAAATAGTCAAGCACATTGAACATACAGTTGGTTTAATGTGCAACTCATGCCAAATGCGTTGTAATTTCGATTTAAAATATCACTGGCAGCCGAATTCACTTTCTTTATGCCGCTGTCAGCGCCTACTATGGGACTGTTTTTGATGCCGTATTGTTTACTCTTCTTTAAGTATCTTCAGTTCAAATTTGAACTCATTGAGATGAACTTTTTTTTTTACAATATTTTGAAAGTGGGACTGTGTGTGTGCTTCTTTATTTTGTTGCTCTAGTGCGCAGCTGAAATATTTCTTATTTAGTTTTTAATTAAATTAAAACGATAATTTTTTATAGTCAAATAAATCTGTAAAGTCACTTTCTTTATGCCGCTTACAGCGCCATCTATCAATACACTTTGGAACTTTTTTGCAGCATTTTGGAAATGGGACTTTAATTATAATCCGCATGTATTTCCTCTCAGAATGAGAGTCGCTAAACTAAACGCTTCTTAACGGCAGCGCCGGTTTCCTCTCGGTGAGTATCTTGAGGCCTACTGACGATTTCTCCTGAACGCTTTAGAGGAGCGGATCCTAGCGTTAGATACCATGTGCAGATTCACGGAAATTTGTCGAGGTATTACGAATACCTTCGTCTATAACACTACGATGTCACATTCACGTGTGGCATCACTACGGGAATAAATTGTATGACTCTTGAGTTCTACGTTCTTACTCGCCTTGTACAGATTAACGGCACTTGCAACTTCCGCTTATGCTTCCCTGAAGTTTTGCCTCCTGGTCTTTTCATTTCTCTTCATCATGAACGCCACTGTTGCGTCGAAACCCAGGTCCCCGTGCGTAGGGGAAGTCAACGCCCTATGTCCAGTAAACAGCCTGTCTGTGGGGGTGTCTGGCAGGGGGTGAGAGGACGAGAGAGAAAGGAATGTGAGAAAGGGGAGTTGAACTTCACCAACCAAAGAGAAAGGTTGTGTGGCAGTCCATCCTCGAGTGCGATGGCTGTTTAAATAAAGGAGTTGAACAACTGCGACCAAAGAGAAAGGTCGTGTGGCAGTCCATCCTCGAGTGCGATGGCTGCATAAATAAAAGAGTTCAATAAGTGTGGCGCCAGAGAGAGGTTGTGTGGTCAGTTCATTTTCGAGTTTGATGGCTGCCTAATTAAAGGAGATTAATTAATAAAGTCCACAATTTTTATTTGAGTTTATTTTTGTATGAGTGAGCTATCGAACAGCCACAGAGGGTGTTCTTGCAGTGTATAGGAGGAAGCACGGTTACAGTTTATTATTAATTCATTTAAAATTATTATTTTAAGTGCATATATTTTTTTATATTAATGTTAAATACCTTTTTCATTCTTTATTCTTATGTGCCAACAATAGTAGTAAACACACAGTAAAAAGGTTTGATAAATCCACTAAAATTTAATATTATATTGCAATTAAAATGATAAAATTTTAATTTTCAAAAATAATAATAAAATAAAGTTATTTTTTAAAGTTATAGTTTAAACTTTTTAAAATTTCCAAATAATATATTTAATGACCTTTGCTCTTTTTAATCAAAAGCTATTCGCATTGCTATTCTCCTTGCGTAATGTTGTTGGAATTCTTATGCTTTAGTTCGCGCCACGCAGCGTCACGTGGTAGTTTTATAGAAATCGTTTGGAACCGATTCAGAATTGCGCTCTTGCCGTGGAAACGGGCTGTTGGTTGCTGTGGAAACGGGCTGTTGCCGTGGAGACCAGCTGTTACTGTGGAACGAGTTTTTTATTCTAAAAAGAACATTCTTCTTCCAGTTTAGCTTTTGCCTTTGAGATGTTACCATCAACCCTGTATATCTTTGTAAATATTGCTCGAAAATAAATGAAGATGCCATAAATGTTAGTATGGATTGATCAATACTTCTCGAACCACTAGAAAGCTGCGGCTAACAAGAAAAATTGAACCACCGAAAGAAAGGAAACACGATAGTCGTAGCGACAAATGTGTTAATACATGTTGTATTGTTCATTTTTGAATATTATTTAAAGGAATAATATTCACAAATGAAAAACACAACTAGTTACCTCTGATATGTAGCAATATTTTTTTAATTGGACTATCTTCATAAGTATCATAGCAGAACCGAAAGGACTATTCTGTCTCTATTTAGAACTGCCTCATTTTAGCACGAGCATTTGGAAGAAGCTTACTAGATGCTTAAAAAATATTTCATTTCTGATATTTATTCTCTTAAAGCTCGTGTCCTCCTAATGAGATTGCACAACAGTTACGCAAAGAATTCGTCCTCTTTTCCCTGTTAGTATACGCGGAAATGTTCTGGTAGAAGAAGTCAGGGGTAAATTCCACAGCATAAGTATGTCCTAGAGGTAGAAAAATGACGCCAGCTGTTCGTGGAAGACGTAGTTATTCTCCTTGCGTGTATATTTACGGGTGCACTTATTTTTTTTTATTTGGCAGAATTTTTAAATCCTTTCCGTTAATTTAGGTCCAACAAATAAATAAGAATAAAAATAAAAATGAATTGTTTTCAAAGAATAATTAGGTTTTGTTTTATCATTTTTATTTATGTGTGATTGTGTTCCTTTGTAAATTGCTTTGTGGTGTTTTATAAGAATTTAATTGATTTTAAATGTTATTTATTTCGGCGGCCTGATGACCGAGTGGATGGCGTTCTGGCGCTAGGTTCCACACCTTTGTTGTTCTAGTCCTGACGGTACCATGGATGTTTGTAGTTGTTCGGAATCTACTTTAAACCGTAGGTCCCGAACTCACATGATCTTAGAACTTCGCGTTGTTATTCTTACTCCGCGTCCGTAGCTACATCGGACGGTTCCAATTCTGAATCGGTTCCAAACGTAGCTCCGCGCTCATCTTCAAGCTACACGCACCTCCTGGGTAATGCTAAGTGAGTAACGTCTGCGCAGCATTTGCCTTAAGGTATAAAAGACACCTGTCTAAGTGTTTGCCAGCTGCATTAGAAAAAAAATTATTTATTTAACGTCGTGGTGTTTTTTTAATAGTAAACTGATCTTGTTGCTTGAAATATCTCATTTATTTAGTCATGACAAAAATTGAAATCTATCTTTTGTTTGCATATAATTGATATATTTTAATTTAATATTTATTAAAGAAAAAATATCTTTAGGGGATACTACATAGATTTAATATGAGCAGCCTGGTGACCAAGTAGCTAGCGCTCTGGCCTTTGGTACCACAGGCTTCAGAATTGATCCCTGTCA